TGCATTAGAAAGAAATTGAAGAGTTAAAGACATTTGGGGGATATTTATCAACAAATCAAGACTTTAGTGTTCAGCAGATAATCTATTGCCACAATCTTACAGGTATTTCAACAATTCAGAATTCTCTGATAGTAAACACCAGGGTTGTTTCTTCCTGGATTTTCTTGTGTTACTCTAGGACCCTTTCCAGACAAGCACTGTTCTCAATAACTGCTTGTCTGTTTCACTTTTAGAGACATAAGAGTAATAAGGAAATAATTAAAACAATACAACCATCATGAATCACCCCCCCTCCCCCAGACCTTTTCAAAGAACCTTATTTAAACAACACACAGGAACCACCCCTGGTAATTCTTTCATGGAGTGACAATGTTAAATTCCTCTGAAGCTATTTCCAAGTCTCAGAAAGCTGAGGCTTTAAAGTCAGTAGGTGTTTGCTGCCTTATCTCTCTGCCTGACTTGCACTTTTGTGTAGGCTGCTGAGTATATTTCAGCTTGCAAGGAAGCTGCTGTTGTAATCAAAATATTTCAAACATTTTGTTCCTTAGTTGGAAGAGCCACTCAAGTAGTTGCCCTAAGCATTAGGGCAGAAGCACCATTCATAGTATCTTTTGTTCTACCATACCAATTCTGGAAACTATGAAATAGTCATGGTTTCCCTTCCTAAAATGCTCTTCCCCAACCACCTCCCTATGTCCAACCCCATTGAATTCGCGAGCTAGGAAATCCTTCAATAAGCTTTCTAAAATTTGCTTCATCTAAAAGTAACATTCCATAACACGTCCAAACTCCATAATGTGTTAGCTGTCTTTTTGGATTGCTTACCACCTTTTATTTGGTATTGCATTTTTTTGGGGGGTAGGGGGGTAGGGGGGGACACAGGCTTCCTTCTTCAGACTTCTAACTACTTGCTTTATAGCAAACAGAGTGTGTGTTTAATTCAGGGCCTGCACAGTCCCTGCATAAAGAGCATACTCAATTGACACTTGTTAGATTCACCAAGCCACTGGTGTACCATGTTGTAGACAGAGAAAGGGTAGATCATACATGGGTTTAGACCTAAGCTTCTAATAAATGTTTGCTGAAAGATAAGCCTAGGTTAAATTTAAGCAGAATTACTCATAAATTGTGTAACCATGGGCTTCAATTTCTTCACATGTAAAATGGATCCCCCTATCTAATTGTTTTAAGAATAAATGAAAACCCAAACTTGTAAAGACTGTACAGCAGGGTTAGGCATATGGTAGATGTTCAACAATGTTTTCTTCCCTGTGTTTATGGCTCCATTCCCTCCATTTATTGAATAGTGTGTCTGATTGCCCTTCCTGGTTGGCCATTCTCATAGGCTAGGAAAGAATACCTAATGTGCATCTTATGTGTCCCCCATGGAGGAAGCCAATTTGGTTACAGTTTGGCCCTGGATCTACAGGTGTGCATAGACAGAATGGGTACAATGACTCTGATACAAAATTGGTCTCAGTCATCCTGGAGCCGTCTTTAGCTAGTCTTTGAAATCTAAATTTAGGTTCTTTGCTTTCATGTTCTGAGGGAATCGTGTGTTGTCTAGCCCTGACCACTTTCCCAGAACCATCTCAACTTTATTTAGACGGAAATGGTAGGGGGCTTATAGATTTGATCTTCTGAAATAAGTCAGAATTGAGGATGAACCCTCCCAATATTAAGGTCTTCCCAATATTAACCCCTACATTTAAGGCCGAAACAGAACGACCACAGGATTCTGAAAACAATTACAGCTCAAGCCCTTTAGCTGAACTAATGGTAAATCTTAAACAAAAGGTAAAACCTTTGTGGAATCTGTCCTCCCAATCTAATCATGTTGTCCCCTACCCCATGGTAGCTCACACTCCCCAAGGAAGGATATGTATGCCTCACAGTTACTTGTGTTTGTGTCCTTCATAGGATGCACTATAGATTATATTTTTATTTATTTTACTTTGCTAGTTGTGGTGCTTAAAATTCCACCATTAGAAATTAATTTCTGCTCAGCATTGGCTACATAAAAGTAGGTTTTCATTATAGTTAAGGACTGCAAGCAAAATAAGCAGACATAAGCAGAAATTACTTATTTACTTTATTACTTGACAAAAATTTATTGAGCTCTAAGTATGTACTAGGTATCACAGTAGGTACTGAATATTGGGTCAGGTACAAAACATGCAAATGAACCTGCCATCAAGGAGCTTACATTCTGGGGCAGAGAGACTGCATATGACCATGGTGCTAACAGCCATGCTTCAGAAAATAAAGGTAAGTGGGATGGGGGATTAAGGGAAAGAGAAGTGTGAAAGAGGAGACTGTTACTTTATATAGGGTGGCGCAGTACCTAATGCACTTCACTGCTAACCAGAAGGCTGGTGGTTCAAACTCACCAGCCACTCCTCAGAAGCAAGATTGGGCAATCTACTTCCATAAGAGATAACACCTCGGAAACCCAAGTGGGTGGGTCACTATGAGTCATATCGACTTGGCAATGAGTTTTTTGTGGTTTTTTTTTTTTGTCTTTTAATAGGGTCATCAGTGAAAGTTTAGTAACTATAACAAGAAAAGAAAGGTCAATATATAAAAACAAACCATCATAAAAAGCTCAAGCCTTTTTTTAAAGCTCATTTCTCAGAATCAAAGGTATCTGTAATGTAAAGAATTAAATAACTTGGGCAGAGTTTGGGAAAAAGCCCTGGAGTTATGCTTCTGAAAGGTCACAGTCTTTAAATCCCTATGGAGTGCAGTTCTACTCTGCAGTACATGGAGTTTGGCAACTGGTTTGGCTTTTTTGGTTATCCTTAATTTTACTTTAAACATTTCATTGGAGCTAACATCTACCTTAGTCAGCTCAGATTCTTAGGAAATCAGAGGAGGCAGGAAGTGTGGTAGGAAAGGAAATTAGCCAGGGCTAATTGGCAGAGCTGCCCAGAGGTGCCACAGAGATTTAAACAATCAAAGAACCAAACTCATTGCTTTATAATCGATTCTCGCTTATGACAACTTCAGATGTTATGGATTACAACTGCTCCATGGGGTTTTTCTTGGCTGTAAATTTCAGGGAAGCAATTCAACAAGTGTTTGTTCTGTAGCACAGCTGAGAGGGTTCCAATTGCCAACATTTAGGTTAGTAGCCTGCTGTTGTTGTTTTTGTTATGTGCCATCGAGTCACACCCTGACTCATAGCGACCCCTCCTTGGGTTTCCAAGGCAGTATCACTACCCAAGGAGTGGCTAGTGGGTTTGAAGTGCCAGCCTTCTGATTAGCAGTCACGTGCCTTAGGCACCACACTATCAGAACTCCCATGGTTAGCAGCCTAGAGCAAGGGGCCCACACAAACTTTGTGTTTAATAAAGTCCACTTTGTATTAATAAGCAAAAGTTTTAATTAGACTTTAAATACCAGCCCTGCCACTTACTGACTAGGAAACCAAACCAAATCCACTGGCATCAAGTAGATTCCGACTCATAGCGACCCCATTGGGTTTCCCAGGTGGTAAATCTTTACAGAAGCAGATTGTCCAGTCTTGCTTCTGCAGAGTGGCTGGTGGGTTTGAACCACTACTGACTAGGAATTTGAGTGTTATTTATCTGCTTAATTTCCTCATCTGTAAAAAGGGGATTAAAATACTTATCTCACAAGTTTTTTGAAAATATAAATAATTTACCGAATGACATAGTCCAATTCTTGACACATAGCAGGCATTCAATAATGTAGCTATTATCACTAAAATCATTTGTTTACCTCTCGAGTATGTAAATGTTGACTGCCTAATCCTTTAAGATTCTTTTACAAAAATTGAGAACAGTATAGCCTCCCAGACTTTTTGCTGCTTTCAGTCTGTGGTCTGGTATGATAGCATTTGTTTTTTTCCCTAATGGGGAAAAAAATTGGCAAGTAACTTGTCATTGCCCAAGTAAATTCCTAGCAGAAGAGGTAAACATTGCAAGAAGCAAACTGATTCCTCAATCTAATTAATTACTCAATTTCTTTCCTCTTATTATTTTTTTATAAGTCTATAGTGCTTTTATAGCGGAAAATTTTAAAATATACACAACTAACAAGAGTTACAGTGTCACTGTGATCACCTTTCTTTCCTAGGGGAGAAAGTGATAAATTATATTCTCTAATTTTCACAACTGGCTTGCCATCTTTTCTCTTTTTCACCTCTCCTATCAATCAATACAGTGTTTTCAGTTTAGATTTTTTTAAAAATTAATTTCAGGGTTTACTTTTATGGAGAGAGCGTCAACGGCACAGTGGCCAGAACTGGGGGGTGGGGGTGGAGTGGGATGGGGGAAGGGGTGAGAGCCAGGCCAGGCTGCTGCAGGCCTGGCCAAAGTCCCCTTCCTCCTCCCCCTCCTCGGGGTAATGTGGTGGTTCCCTGGTTCTAAGCCTCCTGACCAATTTGTTCACTTCCCAGATCAGCCACTCGACCGGTGCACTAGGTGGAGCGCCCCTTAGTACCTGGGCGAGGCACTACAATCAAATTTCAGGAGCGCCAGGTCTTAAATGCTTTCAGGTCTTTTTCAAATACTTATGGGGGTCATGAACTCTAAAATGTCCAATAAAAGTGAAAAGCACTTTCTCCCAGAAAAATGAGCTTAGAAAATTCTGAATGGAAATGCAGTGTTTATAGACGTCTTGAGCTTCCAGATTAATTTACCCTGTGCCAGCAGGGGTTGGGGCTGGGGGTTGGGGGTGGCCAAATGAGGGGTGAAAATCTTGTATTGAATTCTTTGACACAGATATATATATATGTGCACTTAATATACACAGACATAGATATGACAAGTGCTTTCTCCAACTAAGCAGGTCTGAGTCCAGAGTCGCGATGGGTCACATAAAAGAGCCACGAGCAACAGGTGGGCAGAACTTCAGGTTCCGCACCCCCAGGAAATACCAAGTCTAAGCCACAGGGCAATGGGGGTGAGAGAAGGACTGGGGTAAAGGTGACGGGCAGGGTCGGGAGGCGCAAGGGGCGGCGGAGCTCCACTCACCATTGCCTACAAAGCTCCGGCCCTTCCGGGCCAGGGTTTGCTGCACCTGCTCCTGGATCCGCAGGCTCTTGGCCGCCTGGCCGCTGCGGCTGCTGCTCCCCGCCAGCTTCAGCTTGGCCTCGGAGGGCAGGGCGAGGCTGGAGCTGTCCAGTTGCTCCAGGATTTGCTGACCGAGGACCGTGCGGATGTAGCCGCACTCAGCCGGGGAACTCTGGACAGCCATGGGGCCGGAGGACCGACCGAGCAGCTCACCAGTCTCCAGACCTGAGGGCCAAGCAGCAGCGGTTGAGTCGGGGGCGCGGGCACTAGCCCCGCCCCGCCGCCTGGGCCCCGCCCGGGCCCCGCCTCCGGTCCGGCCCCGGAGCTGGTGAGAGGTCCGTGCCGGGTGAGCGGGGCCTGGAGAGTCCTGGGCCCAACCTCTCCTGGGTCTGGGGACGCGGCTCTCTCCAGGCACGCGCAGTCGGGCCCGGGAACGGGTGCGCATTCAGCAGCACGCGCGGACACCTGGCGGGGCAGGCCCTAGTTCTCTGAAGCGAGGACAGGGCGCGAACCCTTTAGGTCTCCCACACCCTGGGTGTCACCTCGGAACCCGCCTGTCAGGGCCGCGCCCCGCCCGCTATCATTGTCTTGCTGGACTTCGCCAAGCGCTCTAAATGTAGTGATATCCGTTTAATTGCGGGAGGATCCGCCCTCCAGGCAGACCTGGAGAGTCACCTCTGTTCTTGGGCCCAGGCTTGCCTTGGGGATCTCCGAGTGAGCAGTTTATCTGGTTAGTCAGGCTCTGACAATGTTAGAAACGTTTCGGGATTTTCCTGGACCTGAGGGTGAGAAAGAGTTTTTTGGTTAGGACAGTATTAGGGAAAGGAGAGAGAATTGCCAAGAAGATGAGCCGTATTGAAATAAATTACTTTTTAAGAAAGTTTTCCCCCTTAGTACAACTTAGGGACTGTGTGCTTTTTGCACAGATGCTGTCCCAGAAACATATGTTCTTCCTCATTGAGAGCTTCTGTTTTCTCTTGAAAATACACAAATTGTACCTAGTGCGCTCTTGCTCACCCACTCAGCTCATACGAACACACCCACATAGAAAAAAATCCAATGAAAGGCATAAGAGAAGGGCCGCCTTTTACTAGATGAAACTTTTTAATAGGCGTGCTAACGTAGATTAAGTCCTCTTTTTGACAGGCTTTCTGTATAGGGGCCGTGGAAGGGGCCTCTGACTTTCAATCATCTTCCACAACTTATATTTATCATGCTGTTGTTTCACACACAATTGACTACTGAGAACTTGAGAGCACAACTCAACAGAATGAGTCCTTCAAAGTTTACAACGAACACCATCGTTCTGATTTTCCTCTTTGGACTTGACAGGTAGAAAGAAAAACATCTTTCCCCAGTATTAAGATAAACTCTTTGATTGCTTGTGTTTGTAAGTTCACTTTCCCTCAAATCACTCAGTTGCTGCAAAACTCCTTTTATTCAGGTCTGGAATGGCGTAGAACAGTCTTTCCCCTCCGTGTTTTCCTATCCATAGCCTCTACCCTCACATACACGCTCAATGCACAGATATATGGCCTCCCTTCTTAGATGAACTTCTAGGGAATGTAGAGGAAATCAAGGGGCTAGAAGCCTGTGCAACCAATCACATGGCTAAGGCCATGTGGAATATACTGTTTGAGTAGGAGCCATGTGGATGACAGGTCTTTGGAAGCATCTCGCCATCCCTGAAGGACCAGTCTTTAGGTAAATTACACCTTCTGTAAAGCTCAATTTATGAAGCCAGATATAAACATCCAATACTGATGCTTCCACTTTGTTTAAAAGAGAGGAGTGGGGCAAAGGTCAAGTGCTTACAGAGACTTCCAACTACAGCCTCTGTTCCTATCTTCCTTCTCCTTTCTCTCTTCCTCACCATTCCCAAGCCTTTCCATGTAGCCAAGGAGTCTTACTTTAGGAGCCAATTTCAATGTCTGCCCCCACAGGGTCTGCTAGGGCATTCCTTGTTTGTGCCTGGAGAAACATGATTTACAAGATCAGCTCTGCCACTATCTAGATTGCTCCAAAAACCAAACCCTCTGCCATGGAGTCAGATCTGACTCATAGCGACCCCTCCTTGGGTTTCCGAAGCGGTATCACTACGGAAGTAGATTGCCCAACCTTTCTTCTGAGGAGTGGCTGGTGGGTTTGAACTGCCAGCCTTCTGGTTAGCAGTCAAGTGCCTCCTTAGGCACTATGCTACCAGAGTGCCTTAGATTACGCTAGAGGAGTGAAAAAGCAATTTTTCTCATTTATTTATTTGAATGAGCTAAACTTTATTTACATTTTTTATCTCAAGTTATTTTTTTAAGTGTGATACGTTATATCAATTATCCTTTTAGGTTGTTGTTGATCTGCTGATAAGCTGGCACCAACTCATGGGGACTCTAGACCTTTGTGATCCTCAAGTTTTCGTTGGCTGATTTGGGGAAGTAGATCTCCAGGCCTTTCTTCCTAGCCCATCTTGAGCTAGCTCTGCTGAAAACTAAGTCCAGTGCTAAAAAGGCAAGGAGGCCACATCTCCTGACTTCCTCTAACCACACGAGAGGAAGACAGAATGACCACCAGTAGTAGATCAAGGCCTATTCCTGCCAGGCCAGACATGCTGCCTCCTTCCAGTCCTTGCACCAACCCTGACACCAATTGTTCCTCCCGCAGTACTCACCACCTTTCTGCTGGGTTTGATAATTATTCACTGCAGTAGCCACATAGAACTCACAGATTATGGGGTTTATTAGGGAAGCACCAGGCTACAATTCAAGTTCAGGAAAAATGCTCAGTCTCTTTCAGCCTGCTGTCTCTCAGCCAACAGTCTCTCACAGTCTCTCTCCCAACAGTGCGTGTCCCCTGGTGTTTCACTCAGCAACACATGTCTCTTGCATCTCTTTCCCAGTGTCTCTCAGGAGTGCATGTCTCTTTCAGCAGCACATCCTTCTCAGCCAGCAGTCAGAAAGATCTTGGCCTCTAGGAGGCCCCCTTTTGAGCCTGGCAGAGTGGCCAAACCAGCCAATTATATCAGAATTCTAAACACCAGAGAGAGAGAGAGAGAGAGAGAGAGAGAGAGAGCGCAAGCGAGCTTCCCAGAACATTGCTGTGTGCCACACCCAACAGAAATATCCCAGGTGGATAACTTTTACAGTCAAGAGCTCCTCAGTTGCTCACAGCAAATTCCACCATGGAGTTTACAAAGACTTAGGCTAGAAAAGCCATACCAGGTAATTTACTACACCGCATCCAGCATCATAACAACTACGTAAGCCTCCACTGACAGATGGTGGCTGCACACAAGGTTCATTGGACTGACATTGAACTCCTCACATGGGAGGTGAGAATTCTACCACTGAACTACCACTGCCCCCTGTCCTTTTAGGTAAGTACAAATGAGTACATAGGGAGCTCTGGTGGTGCAGTGGGTGAGGAACTTGTCTGCTAACCAGTCAAGTGGTTCAAACCCACCAGCTGCTCTGTGGGTGGAAGATGAGGCAGTCTACTTCTGTAAAGATTTACAGCTTTGGAAACCATATGGGGGTTGCTATGAGTTGGAATCAACTAGATGGAAATGGGTTTAACGAGTACATTGATATTGGAACATTGTTTTGGGGTAGTTAAGTGATTTGGCAGGAGGAAATGGTATAGCTTGTGAGTTCAGCAGGTTTAAGTTTAAATGTTAGCTTATCCTTTTTAAGTTATGTGGCTTTAAGCAAAGTTTAATTACATTTTCAGCCTCAATTTTCTTACCTGTAAAATGAGAGCAATAAAAGTACCTTTCATGTAGTGCTCTTGTGAAGAGTAAACAATGAATGATACACAAGAAATGTTCAATATAATTTTCAATGCTCTTTAGCAAACATCTCCCAGAGATACACTTTTGGTTTCCCTTACCTGCTTCAGGTCTCTGCTCACATGTCAACTTATCATTTAAGTGAAACCTTTTCTCTCACACACACATACACACATACACCCACCTGACAATATAGCTGGCTGCCTGTATTGTCAGCTATGTATGTGTGTGTCACTCACTATCTCCCTTCTCTACTTTTCGTCATGCATTTTTCATCATCACATGTGCTTTATGTTTTACATACTTAATTGTTGATTGTTTCTCTCCATGAAAGGAGGGATTTTGGTTTTATTCACTGCTACTCTTCAGGACCTAGAGTAGTGCAAAAAGTAGACAATAGATGTATGTTGAATGAATGAACAAATTGTACATAAAAGCACTAGTACATTACATGGTATAATGAATGTTCCACAACCATTAGTACTATTTAACCTTTCAAACTCTTGGTAACTTTTTATCCTCTTTTAAAAAGTCACATAGATAGCAGTATGCATTTTCACTCACTGCCATGGAGTTGATTCCAACACATAGCAAATCCTATTGGGTCTAGCGAGGTGGTAAATCTTTACGGAAGTAGTTTGCCCCATCTTCCTTCTGTGGAGTGGCTGGTGGGTTTGAACCACCAACCTTCTGTTAACAGTCAAATGCCTTAGGCATTGTGCCAGAAGAGCTCCTTTTATTATGTATTCTAATTACAAACAAACTCACTGCCATCAAGTAGCAGTCAAATGCCTTAGGCACTATGCTACCAGAGCTCCTATTCATAGCAAACCCAAAGGACAAAGTAAAACTGCCTCATAGGGTTTTCAAGACTGTAACAGAAGCAGACTGCCTTGTCTTTCTTCTGCAGAGTGGCTGGTGGGTTCAAACCACTGCAGCCAAATACTTTAACTATCGTACCACCAGAGCTCCTGGATATACAATTGTTGTTGTTGTTGTTGTTATGTGCCGTTGAGTCGGCCCCGACTCATAGCGACCCCTCCTTGGGTTTCCGAGGCAGTATCACTACGGAAATAGGATTGCCCAACCTTCCTTC